GTCATGACATGGTGTGAGTGAATTGTGAGTAGAGCACCAGATCGTATCTTGGCATTGGCACAAAGTTGGTACTTAAGTGGGATCAGCTTGAGGGGTGAGTTCATACTCGCTCAGTTACAAATGAGGAAATGAGATCTCCTGCCCTTTTACAAATTGAATAGAAGAAAATGCCATTTTCAAATTTCTTAGGTTTAAAAATGAAGATCTCTTGTAAAAATGACATAAAAAAAATAAATAAATTGTAAAGGGTTAGAAAACCATTTCTCCCATTACAAACATGTGTACCAACTGGGTTGGGCCAACTGACCCACCTGGGATTTGTCGGTTATATAAAAAATTTATATGATCAACTCTGGTCTGCTGGTCAATTGAGCTAAGCCTAAGAATGCCTCCTGACAGGGTCGATATGTATGCTTTGAAGTATATGGCAGTGTAGTATAGTTTTCCTGGAGCATAAAATAGGAGCACTCAACCTTGTGTAGTGGGCTTTAACAGTCCCTCTGTAGGAAGAATCTATTTCGAGATAGGGTTAGAGATTGCACCCAAGGATGTGGCCTAGTGGTCAATGAAGTGAGATGAGAATCATGAGGTATCCTAGTTCAAATCCAATGGAGGCAGTAAATACTTCCCATTTGCCTAAGCCTGGGTGGATGGTCACGGAGTTACCTGGTACATGTGCTAGTGGAGGTGCAGGTACAAGTGGAATAGTCGAGGTACATGCAAGCTACGCCCAGAGACCACAGTTACAACATTGTTCAATTGAGAATAATTCCATTCAGATGCCACCTTATGCTTAACTATGCCTCAATACCAAACAAGTTGGGGTCGTTTTCACCTTATCAAACAACTTGTCATCTTCTATCATTTATCATTGATTAGTGGAATTTGCTTTTCTTCTGATGATATCAAGATTTTAGTTTTGTTCATTGTTATTATAACTTTCTATATTTCAGGTAGCAGAAGCAAAACAATTAGTTCCTATTCTTGAATCCTACCTTGAACAAAGGGGCATCACTCTTCCGGAAGGATATTTGTCTTGCAAAGTCATATGTTCAAACCCCAATTTCCGGTATGCATTTTCATCATCTGCTGGTTATACATCATAGTAATGTTGAGATTAAGCATGTATTGGACATTAATTCTTCAAGTTATTTGTAGCTTGAGGAGCATTTTTTTCCCCAAGGGAACTTTTGAGATGTGAGATTTTTTAAGTTGAACTGAAAGCAATTAGTTGTTCCTAGTTGCTTAAGGCATTAAAGATCCATCCCAGCTCCATAGCTAAATATTATGGTTGGTTAACCAGGCGATAGCTTTGTGATCGATAGTTTAGTGAGGTAGGCCACCTCCCTACTTCTAATGATAGATAGAGAAGGCATTTGAGGGGCTGAGGCAAGACAGAGAGAGGTACATTACTAGCCTTCTTGGTACCGACCTGCTAAGGCTAAAATTCCATTGAAGAGTGTTACATGGTAGAACATGAGATAATTTGACTCCCCTTTTCAAGCAATCTTAGTGTTTGAACCTACAGAGAGAGAGAGTCCAGAGGCTAAACTACTACTTCAATATCTGCTATCTCTATTTTCACATTTGTGACGGCTCCTTTGCCCGGCATTCTTATCCTCTACAATGTATTTATATTCGATATGAATTCCTTTTTTCTCCTACACCTGCTAAGGATTTGTTTGATGTTCTATTTGTGTCTAGATACTTCCTCTATATCCTATAAATTTTGATGATCTACTTAGCAAAATTAGAACCTTTATTGTATAATCATAGTAAAAATCCAAATGGGTTCTCAATCACCCTTGTAGTGCTCTCAAGTCTACCTCTATAGATTTTTTCCTCAAAAGTTTAGGTGTGTGGCTCATAAATTTTATAGCCCTGACAACTTTGAATATTATCCTTTGTTGTGTGCCGTAATCATGATACTGTTTGTCCATTCATTTTTTCACGCCTTAGTGTAATATTGAATAGCTTGATGAGCTTCAGAACATCTTTAGGGATATCATGTTATAAAGTAAGTAACTCGCTGAGAGAATGGACCCATCCGATGCGAGCGATGTGGCATCTCGATCTGATCCCTGCAGAGTGAAAACATACATTGAGGCATTTGGGCATAAGTCACTCGATTCAGGAAAAAAAAATTAACTATTAGAATAAACCTCAATAAAAGTATTGTTCACATGTTAAGTAAAGAGTACAAAATACTTTTATGTTCTCTAGAAATCCTTTCGGTATTTAAATAATCACAAAAGAATTAAAAACACTCTTCCTGAAGTCGAAAGAAAAAATAGTTCTCTGTAGTAGTTTAATAATGGTAACATATTAGTTTGCATGTTATAACTTTCCTTTTACTTGTTACTCGGAAATAAAAGTATCTTGTGATATCAAAATTTAAAAATTCCAACATGAAGCAAGAAAAGGGCCACAAGGAATATTCAAGGAATATGTTTACTTTCAACGATAGAAGTTATCAACCATGAGAGCTAGAGCATGGACTCCTTCCATTGATATTTTATGACTATTTGGTGAGAAAGAAACTGATGAGCTTTTGAAGGGATAGAAAGCACTTCTATGCAATTGAAGGGATATTATTTTCTTTCTGGATTTCTGAGCAACTATGAGATATCTGTTATCATAGACGATTGGTTGCTCTTACCTTTATAAAAAGAAAATATATGGTTTTTTTTTTTTTTTAAATAGAAAAGAAAATATATGGGGTTCTTGTACTCCCTTCTATTTCGTAGGTTAAACTGGTGAAGTCATTCAAATAGGAGTCTTGACCGTAGAATATAGTTATGTACTCTTAAAAAAATTGAGTTGCATAAATCTTGATAAGATAAAGCCTTATGAGAGTTTATTAAAGACGGCACTCTTCAATCTGAACTGATAGAACTCTAGAAAATTAAACAAAATATGCAAACAATTCAAAATAAACATAAACACTCGATGGAGATTACTCATGTAAACAAAATAAACAATATATATAAACTGTTTGGATTAACTTTTGAATGACATCTTTTATGTTACAGTATTATGTTTCTCTTGTGATCATTAAACTTGCATCTTGTGAATATTGCTAATTACTTCTTTGTTGCAGTACCATTGACTCAGACTCTTTTCCCTCTGAGGTCATAACATATGACCAATGGATACAACTAAAACCCGAATCAAACATGCTTTCTGGTTGGATTAAAGGTGCATTTCATGGTGGGAAGAAGGACGTACAGGAATCAATACGTGAGAAGCTTAATCTTGTACTCAGCACAGCTCCAATGTGGGACAGGTCTGTTGCATTGCATTCATCTTTATGTTGTGTTATGACACTAAATTTTTCCTGAACTAAATAGAAACAGTGGGTTTGTTCGTTTTGACCAAGAATGTTGACCCTCCTGCTAGAATGTCAAAAATTCATGTAGTTAAAGTTAGGGACCTACAAGAAAGTGTTTTGGTCCGTTGCTAATTTAGTTGCAGTGTAAGATCTTGAACAAACAGGGAAGAATAACATCAAACAAGAGAATGTTGGCTAATAAAGCCCACCATTCCCGAGGGAAGTGTTTGATTGAAGAGTGCGTGTGTGTTTGTGTGTGTTTCTTCTTCTTTTTTTGGACCGGGGTGGGGGAGGCGGAGCGAGAGAGAGTATCAAGGAGATCAAAGCTATTTCTGGAAAAACAATAATGCAGATGTTCATGAGTTAATAGACATTCCGTCTCTTCTCATGGAAGAAATTTGCACATATCCTTGCAGAGTTGCAGTTTATATGAAAGCATTACCAACTCGGAAATTTTACTCAAATTATTCTGATACATACAGGTTAGAGCTCAAAGGTAATAAATTTGTCCTTGGAGAGTTTCTCGAGTTCAAAGGGGACAACGAAGATATCCGGGCATTGGGAAACATCAGGAGATCAAAAGTTAGTACAGTGACAATCCAGAAAACAAGCATGTTTGGTGTAGGTAAGGAAAATAATAACTATGGTAGTTGGCAAATGCATTTACCTGATTGTACTTGAAGATAACCTTGTGATTGGTGGTTATACATGTCTACCGGATACTATGTTCATATTTTCCTTGAATCTAAGAGATCTTTTGTTGCTTTGGGAGTTGCAGCTCCTTCTAAGCTCCAAGTACACTACTGTCTTCGAGATTATCGTGGTGAAGGCGCTTCAGCTTCTGACTGGACAGAAGTCACTGTCCATTCCAGGACTGAGATCAAAATTCAACCAAAAGGTTCAACCAAAGTACGCAAATACAAGTTATCCTCAGTTATTTCCATGTCATTAAGTGCCTGACATGTCCGTGGAAAGTTATATGGGCATTGATCGTTGCGATGGAGTGTTTTAATAAATTTGTTTTGATTCTGAACCTCGTTTTTCCTTCAGAAGTTCTAAGTTGATGTATGTAATTATTTTGTTGTGTATATCCTATCAAGTGTAGCAATTCTGGGTCAAAATGCAAAATGGAGAAAGGGCTCCCTTAGTAGTGAATAATAAACATAGGAGGAGGATGGTATAATGTAACAAAATTCTGGTATGATAGAGTAAATTACCGGTAATGTTTTAAAGGGTCGTTTGGTTGAGGCACAAGTTATTCGGATTTACAATATGAACTGAAGAATGATGGGATTATTATTTATTAGTAGATGTTTGATTCATTGGACTGAATATGGGATATATGGATATATATAAATACCATATGTTTGGTTTAAGCATGATAAATCGATATGAACTCTTATTTTCAATTTTAATCTTGTATTTCCTAAAATTGAGAAGTTTAGGAGAAGGGCGAAAAAGGCATATTTAGCCTTTGAGTTTAGTTAATATACTGGGCAAGGGGGTGGATCATATTATAAATACCCTGTATGCATTTATTTGCTTATATAATCAGTCATCAGACCTCTCTAATAACGCTGTTTGATTCGATATATTTTGGTTGTTATATCGAAGTATTGTTATAAAAAAAAACATATAATATACATATCAAGTGTGGCCAGAATATTACAAAAAAAATCCGTTCTCAGTTGATTTCATTCTGTAGTAATTTGCAAGTGGAAAAGGTACAATAAGGTATTGTTACATATATCAAAGCTTGGGTCTATGCAAAATGTTTTTGTTTGGTCATTTGACATTTCTGTTATGCTTTCTTTATATGCAACTTTCTTGTAAGTGAAATTCGTAACAGATTTCTTCAACAAAAGAAACAAAGAATTTGTAATAAACTTATGATGAGGTCTTCAATCTCCAGAATCTATCTAAAATTTGACGGGGCTCTTCTCTTGTCTCTTTGAAATAAAACAATGTTCTTCGATTAGTTCTGTACGAGCCATGCTTTATACACAGTGATGGCATCAATTCACTTGGACTTCCAATCCAGTATCAAATCCTAGCATCAGTTTGTTCAGTTTCTTGTTGCTAATCCTTTGCTCATATACAGTATCGTCCTCCAATCTGCAGTTAACACATACATGGTAAGTCCAAAGTTGAACAAGATCGAGGGTGGTTACTATGAATGAAGAAGAAAATAGAATTTACATCTACCTTTGTGTTTCTGATGACGCTGAAGGAGGCAGAAGCATATTGGCTAGTGTGGTAGCATCTTTAGTGGTGTTTATGACTCTGTTGAAGCATAAGTATCGTCCGTAAGAGGAAACATCCTCAAACACACACATATGGGCATCTACCAAGAACTTGAGGTCCACTGCAACAAACACACCATCTTCATACATTTCTGCAGCTCCCTTCAAGTAAGGTTCTCTTATATTGAGGTCTGGATGAATTAACAACCCTCCATTTATAGACACCATGTTCACTTCTCTGTCCATTGCCAATGCCCATGCTGCTTTCTCCGCTTGTGTCTTTGATAGGCCGTGCCATAACTGTCATGCCAATTCATGTTAGACTTTGAAAGTATCTAGTAAGCAGTACTTTTTAACTTTATCAATGCGTTTGGTAAACATCAAAAGTGCCAAATTGTGGAGGATTAAGTAGGTAAATTACCTTGTACTTTTTGCAAAAGTTGATGTCAGTCCAATCTCTTTCATCGACATAGGAATGAGAATGGGAAGCCACAGGAGAGTCATGTTGGTCCCTCTTCCTTGTACCCCATAACACAGCTGTTGCAGATGATGTAAAAACAACCTTGTTTAAGGTGTCTGTTTGTGCACAGGCTTCCATCACATTGTGAGCTGCTCTGACTTCCATTTCTCCCATCAATTCCTGCAACATAACCCAATGATCTAGTTAATTGGATGAGCTCTCAATGTATAGAACCTCATTTTGAAAGTTCCACACATGAAAATGAGAAGCCAGAATCAAGGTGCGGAAAACAAGCCACTGCCTATGAGGGCCGGCTCATTCTTCACAAGCACGTGATCAGAGCCCTGGCTCCTCATACTGCTTAGGATCTTACAGGTTCATGTTCTATTTTACTTTATTCCAATTATGATATAAGGCAATCGAGTAGATTGTGGGATAACTCACGTCGTAGGTCGGATAGTCAGAGGGGGTCTCGAATGAGTAAAACAGACCACAACAGCCTTTGAGAGCATCTACTATGCTATGATAATCCAAGGGGTCAGCATGGAAACATATCAACTTCTTGCTTTTGCTGTCATCATTGCCACAACCATATTTCATCTTAAAACATTGCATTTCATCTGTTCCATCAAGATTTCGGGGTCAGATTTCTAATTTCAAGATTCAGTTTATAAACTTTCAATAAGTCAGATGGTCCTGACAGGTTTATAAAAAGAAAGATTAGAAATGTTACAGTTAGTAATATCATCAGTATACAATTATGAATCAATAACAATGATAATACAAAAATTGACCAAGAAAATAGTTTGCTCTCCAGCCTCAACTACTTCGACAGCCTTTTCTTTGTTTATGTTTCTCTCACCAATCACACAGCAACAAAAAGTACCATGCGGAACCCATAAAGTGGGGTCTGCGGAGGGTACCTCTCCATCCACAGCTCATCCCATAAATAATAATAAAAAAAGTAAGGTATCAACTTAAATTAGAAAAAGGCTACACCCTTTTTGTGTGGTATTCTATTCTACTTTAATTTATAGTCTTTTCAAACTTTAAAATAATATGTGGTAGACCAAGTATGAGCAAAAAATCACAGTTGTTTCAACTCCACCAATAAAAACAACTAATTCAAACTATGTTGTTCTAACTGATGTCAGATCCTCCAAAAAAAAGGTTATCTTTTTTAGGATCCGATACGCAACAATTTTGAAGGGTTCAAGCAACATAGGTCATGAGATTGTTTTATGAGGGTGTTTTAACTGAACCCCATTGCCCTATTTCCCATGTCTTCATAGTAAATTTGATATAATAACACGAAAAGTCAAGAGTCTTTGCTATAACAGATTAAGTGATACATACAAAAACAACAACAATTCCACAAATGGGGTGTGAAGACGAACCATGGTTTTGAAAAGCGGCGTGGACTGTATAACCTCTGAGCAAGAGCTGATGGACAATTGCAGATCCCAGCTGACCAGCAGCATCCATCACACAAACTCTCTTTGAACAAAACACTGAATCCTGCTCATCATAAAAGTCTGCTGCAATTGTCATGACTACCTAACAAAAGAATTAATCAACTAAAAAAAAAAAGAATTTGAGCAACCCCTTCTGCTGCTTTGGGAAAAAAATGGGAGTAGTAGTTCAAGTTCAGCAAGGCAAAAGAACAAACACAAGGTATGCAAGTATGATAATAAAGAAAAAGTGATGATATTTAAAGAAGAAAAGTAGGAAGGACAACATTAAAAGAGTGTGTGGTTAAGTAGATGGTTGGCAAACAAATACTGTACAAGTTTTTTGTTAGATACAGCCTATATACCAAACAGTCTTTGATAACCAACAAATGTCGTAACAGAGTAATAAGTATTTTTTCATTATTTTAATACTAGTCTCCCTAGGTACAGAATGCATTTATTAGAGAGTGTCTTATACTTAATGTGTGACTTTTCAACACGAATTCAAATTTAATCAGACTTCAATATTTGATAAACCACTAATAAATTTGCATTAAATGGTTTTGTGGGGCTATTGTTGAACATGTTTTTATAGGTTAGCTAACTGTCAATGAGCAGAAAACAGAAAGATACACACAGAAATGGGGTCCTTTTACTATATTTGTGGATGAAAATTGCTTCATCCAATGCTAAATTTTGAAAAATGAAGTCCTTGCTGTTCACACGCAAAACTATAAATGTGATAGGCACAAATTATAGTCAAAACGAACATACCAGCTTTCTATGGAAAGTTAGTTGAGTATTGTTGCCTGCCCTATTTAATTTTGTGGCACTATTTATTGTTCTCAAAACGAGCTGGCATTGCCTTGGGGAATTTTAGAAGGCTCTTGAGTCTTGAATGTAGAGTAGTAAATACGAAGACATTAGGTGATTCTTTTCATTTTTTTTTTACTTTGGTGGATAAAGACACAGAGTTACCTGGTATTGCTGGTAGGTTTGGTGGACAAAGTTACTTGGTATCTCGTGGAATTAGTCGAGGTGTGTGAAAATCATGATCATTAACAAAAAAAAGAGTGTAGTAAATACTCTCTTCGTTCAATTAGAAAAAAAAAAAAAAACTTTATCCTTTTACATATATTTTATCTTTATTATTAAGTACAATATACTCCCTCGGTCCAGCAATACTTGTCCATTATTCATTTTGCATATTTTAAAAAAAATTATAAATAAAAAGGTAATTTTACTATATCACCCTTTGAATATAATAAACACAATATCTTGAAAAATGCAATAGAGAAATGATTATAATTAATGATAAGTGTAAATTAGGAATTAAATGTAAAATTATTTATTGATTTCATAAAGTGGACAAATATTACTCCCTCTGCCCCTAATTACTTGTCGAATTGACACACCTATTAACAAATCAATAATTGACATAGTGAGTTTGTCATTTTACCCCTAATAATTATGAAGCGGGTGAATTAAAAACTTAATATTTTCAAGAAGTTTTACATTTTTCATAGTAATTAATCGAGGATATAAAAGATAAAAAAAAATTGTCCTTTCTTGATTTGTCAAAATGGACAAGTAATTAGGGACAACTAAAAAAAGGAAATGGGGACAAGTAATTAGGGACGGAAGGAGTATTGAACATCCCAAAATAATATTTTGGACAACTATTATTAAACAACGGGAGTAATTATTTAGTTCATTTCTCGATAAGTGAGATGGATGGAGAGAGTTGCTTTTAAAACAGGAACTTGGCTATATTGTTGGAATAAATGTGAGTTATCCTTAGTAATCACTCACACTTTACTTCATAATAAGTGGTATTTTTAACTTAAATACATATCTTAAGAAAATTCTCATTCCAAAAAAATAAAAGGTGCTTTTATTAATTAAACTTATCCTTATTCAAATGTCTTGAAAAATAAATAGCTCTTTAATGATTACTTGGTGATGTAAAATTCTTTTTAATTAAGTTTTGAATTTTGAATGTTGACAAAAAAAAAAGAATGAAGATAATAGAAAATTACAATTATATCAGAGTTTTTTCTTGTTACCCAGATAAAATAAGACATCAAATTCATGGAATAATAGGCACGATAAAGAATAATTTCGTCTTTTAATTTTAATTATTATCCTGATAAAGAATAGGCACGACTCTTCAAAGCAAGAAATGTGAGAATATGCCTCACGCAAAGAGACTACATGAAATATGAAGATTTTTGTTTTTTCGAAAGTGAAAATAATATTTGAAAATTGTAGTTATGTTTAGTTATGACTACAGTTTTGAATTTCACAAGTAATTTAACAGTGAAAAAAAAAATCAACTTTAAAAGTTAAATTCTAAAAAAATATTTATAGTCATATTTTACGGAATTCAATTCCTAAAAAAATTATCCATCATCAAACGGTAGTAAATATAAACACGATGAGATCCATATTTACTGGATAGTCATCAATCACAAGTATCAACCATTCAAATCTTGAGAGGTCACTTGCTTCAAACTATAAATAAACTCATAGAAGATTCTATTTGACTCAACATAAAATACAAAATAAAATTTTAAAAAATGAGACATTGAAATTATTGCATATATAAAATTATCACATTTCTCTTATTATATAACTGGGAGTTGAGGCTACCCATTAACTTGACATGTGGAATTACTAGATTTTTCTCTTATTATTTCTATTCTATATATACTATATAATAAAAGGGAGTTTATGATGGGACATTCTACTATTTACAAATGACTTAAAAATTATCTTAATAAATCATTTACAAATTACTTAAAAATATTTAAAAGATATATAATAAAATAGGTTGATTCTCAGAATTCTATCAGGGTCACATATATCGGGACAGAAAAAATAACATATATCATTTTAAAATTACCAAAAAAGTGTTATAAATTTCTCTTATTATATAAGTGGGAGTTGAGGCTACCCATTAACTTGACATGTGTAATTACTAGATTTTTCTCTTATTATTTTCTATTCTATATATACTATATAATAAAAGGGAGTTTATGATGGGACATTCTACTATTTACAAATGACTTAAAAATTATCTTAATAAATCATTTACAAATTACTTAAAATATTTAAAAGATATATAATAAAATAGGTTGATTCTCAGAATTCTATCAGGGTCACATATATCGGGACAGAAAAATAACATATATCATTTTAAAATTACCAAAAAGTATTATATAATAATAATTAACAACTTAAATATCTGAAAGACATTTTAAAAGAGTTAATTTTGTAATTTTTATCCATATCACATAAATTAGGACAAAGTGACCAGTAATGTTAGATAAATTTAAATAAGGCGGAATGACCTGGGAGACCCTGTACTTGGCTCCTTTTGTCAGTTGGACCCCCCTACTCATCACTTTGCCAATCAAACCCTTAAACTCATCAAAACACAATATTTTAAACCCCTCTGACCATTGACCGAGCTTATGTGACATTAATATTGGTGAGTTGGATATGCGTGATTACACGCGCTTAAAAGCGAGTTAAAACAATATTTTACTTTTAAAAAATCAATTTAACAAATTAAAAAAAATCATCTTCTTCAACCCTCCTTCACCCACACCCACACCCACCCTTTCTTCTTCTCCACCAGCCCTCTCTCCTCTACCCCTCACCACTGCCCTCACCTTTCTTCTTTCTCCAACCCATTCTTGTTTCTCCACCCCCACATTCACTCTTTTCCGCCTCTTTTTTTTTTAATTTTATACAAATCAGTAGCCTCAACTTCTTCTAAAATTTTCGTTTTTATGTTTGAAAAATATTAGTATCATTCTTTTATTAGATGGTTTCAATGAGGAGATGTAGATAATGTGAAGGATGATTGTGACTATTGAAAATTTTAAAACTCCATTGATAAGTTTGAAAAAGCTTAAAAAATAATAAATGGGTCTTGTGAATTTGTAAAATTACTTAAATTTTTTTTATTGGGATTCATTGAGTTTGTGTTGGTGAACTTGTAGTTGAATTTACAAGTTAAATCAAGAACAATTTGATCTGATGGGCATGAATCTAGTGCTCAATTTGTGACCAAATATGAAGAAGATGACTATTTGAAAAGTTAAAGAAATTAAAAAAATTGATTTATTTGATTTTTAAAAATTTTTTAGCACTTAATTTCGCATGTGGCACTAAAAATGATGTGGAATTTCACGTGTAATCGCGTCCATTACACGAACTCTGATCGGAGGAGAAAAGGGTTTAGAATATTGTTTTCTGATGGGTTTAAGGGTCTAGTTGGCAAAGTAATGAGTATGAGGGTTCAACTGACAAAATGAGCCAAGTACAAGGGTCTTCCAGGTCATTTCGCCTTTAAATAACTCACTATATTTTATCTGTGTCACATACATTAGGACAAAAAACAATAGATATTGGGCGCACGGGCTCTTTGTCACTAGTACTATAAGATGCGGTAGATGCTAGCTCTATGGTCAATGGATGTTTGACTAAGGGTATCAAAGAAAATAGATAAATAGTACCAAATCGATAATCTGAAATAAAATTAAAAAAAAAAAACAGAAAACATACCTCAGGTTTTGGCAATTATTATTATTTTTTATTTACATGAAGTGAAAAATAGTTACTCCACACCACTTTGAATGGAGTAATTATTCCTAATCATATCAATGTACATATATACAATGGTCAGTATTCCCATTTTAACATATAAGTTCCACTTTCTTAATTACGGTGCCATGCACATTTGATATTTGTACTAGTATTTTACTGACATAGACTTTTTTGTTTACATTATCGAAAAAGAAAGAGAGGGTATTTGCTTGCATTTATTCATGATTGAGTATTCGATTTTTATTTTCTATTTATTTAAAATTGTAGAAATATAACTTGTTCCTCTTGTTGCTAATGTTACTATATCTTTTTTATTTCATTTCACAAAAAATACAATTTTTACTTCATATTCTTATCTTTGAAATAATAATCAAAATAATAATATCATTGAAATAAGAAAGAAGATAAATATTCGAACTTGAATCTTTTGTTTTCGAATTTAAATAATGTAAAAATGGAATGTAAGTAGGCGAGGGGGCGGATGTAGCCAAGTGGATCAAGGCAGTGGATTGTGAATCCACCATGCGCGGGTTCAATTCCCGTCGTTCGCCCATAATTCATAAATATGAGATATTAGACAGGTTAAGCTTATCAATTTTTTTTAATAAATGATTGGCTACAAAGGGATTTTTTTTTAGTGAACGTGTCACAAGCTTACTCCTATTTTTTTTTTGTAAAGTTTTTGTAAAAACGAAGAATTAAATTCTATTTTCTCTCCTATTTACTACGGCGACGAAGAATCAAATTATCACTATATTTATTCCTTTTTCTACTTCTTC